CCACAGATAGTAATAACTGCAAGAAGGGAACAAAAGGAAACAAAAGAACCAAGGGACTTGAAGGAGGTATCTTATAGGACTAGTGCCCATTCCTCAAGGGGGTCCTCTATATTACAGATGCTCAGAACTCTGAGAAGAGAGTGTAATCTGGCAGGTGCTGGGACCATTAATGTTGATTAAGGGAAGGAGACACTTCAGAAATACTCAGAGGACCCAAAGGACATAATTCATTTGGGTATAGCTTAAATTTTCTGTGCCCAGATGAAGACTGCTGAAACCTATGCATTATTGTGGTATTTGTCTTCTTTAGCTTCAGCCCCCCTTTTTTCCCCCCACACTTGGTCCTGACCCTTCCCATTTAGAGAATCTAATACTTCCCAGAATTACTAGTACTCAGCATCCATTCTGATGCCCCCAGATTAAACTTTAGTGTGAATGAGCTTCAGAGAAATTGGAGGGAATAGGAGTGATGGTGGTGAAAGTGGAGAACTGAACCACAGAGGCTGATCATCGAAGAGCAGAGAGAACCCATTTACTGAAGAAATAGACCTAGAACTTCTGTTAGGAAAGTGGAGGGATGGAGATTAGGATGATATGACACTGTAGCTGTACTTGAGAAAACTATCAATATTGATGTTCATTATAAAAAGTAAAGAATGTGGTTTTACTGTGTAAACAAAATCCAGATTATAATTAGTTTTTCCAGATTCTTTCTATTAATATCAAACTGCCATGTAGAATAATGACAAGTATCCACATGATTAGGTATGGCTTGAATTTAATTCAGGCAAATACTCATAAGATCAAAGATATTAGATATGAAAGTGGTTTTAAGAAATCCCTTAGCCCAGATTACAGTTTTCAAGCTCAAAAATATTATCATCTATGCTTGTCTGTAACAAATCCTACTAATTTTCTCACTTAACAGGTCTAAATCATTAATAAGTCAAGGGAACTGTTGTTGTTATGTACCATCAAGTCAGACCCGACTCCAAGTGATGCCTCCTTGGGTTTCCGAGGCGGTATTACTACGGAAGTAGATTGCCCAACCTTCCTTCTGAGGAGTGGCTGGTGGGTTTGAACTATCAGCCTTCTGGTTAGCGGTCAAGTGCCTTAGGCACCATGCTACAGCAAATGGAAAACAGGTAGGAGGGGAGAGCTTAATCACTTAGCACCATTAGAATTCTGAAATCTGTTCATAGATGTACAATCTTGATAATATCATATTTATGTAACCAGGCTGACAATAACAATGGATAAAGCAGAGAAGGCCATAGAGCAGTAAAGGTTATCTGGCTCCTACTTGCCAAGTACACAGAATCAAGTTAGTAGCAGAACTAGGCCTAGAACTCACAGCTCTCAATATTGGGCTCTCTTCCAAGGTTCTCATCAATTCCCCTTGGGACCAAAGCCACTGTGTAGTGTAGCTCAGGCTGCATCAAGGGTTACCTACAAACAGAACTGACAATCTAGCCTGGGATTGTCAATGGAAAAGAACTGGCACTCACCTTAGGGGAAGTGATGGAACAATATGGTGTGTCCCATGAA